TAAACATGTACCTTTTTCCAATAGGAAATCAATAATTTTAGCCTCCTAGTGGCCTCTTGGGACGCCTCTTGGGGGCCGCTTGGGGCTTCTTGGGGGGTTCTTGGGGCCTCCTGGGAGCGTCTTGGGGCGAAAGGCTAGACTTTTCGGTTCGTGGTCCCCCTCTTGGGGCCGTCTTGGGGAACTCTTGGGCCGTCTTGGGCGCCTCTTGGACCGTCTTGGGGGCCGCTTGGGCCGTTTTGGGGGCCTCTTGGGAGCCTCTTGGGCCGTCTTGGGGCGGTCTTGGGGGCCTCTTGGGCCGTCGTCAACGCCGTGAAAGCCGAAAAGCCGTATATGCTAAAAATATACGTTTTCCTTGAAGGAAATCAATGATTTTGGCCTCCTGGTGGCCTCTTGGGACGCCCCTTGGGCGCCTCTTGGGGGCCTCTTGGGGCCCTGTTGGGCCGTCTTGGGGCTGTCTTGGGCGGTCTCAGGCTCTTCTGGGACGGAAAAGGGGAGAATCCGAAAAACATGCAAAAAACCAAGGGAGAAAACCCAAAACGGCCATTCAACCCATGCCCTCCCCGTACGCCCCCCCCCCCTGGACCCCCCCCTTAAGGAGCTTCGCCCAACACACAACGTCATCACTCGTACCTCGCTCTTTCCGTTACCTGGAAGCTTGGGCAGTGATCCTCTCTCCTCGTCCCTCCTCCTGATTTGTCAGGGAAGCGTGAAACGTAGGTCTGTCATAGCTCGGGTTTGCCGCCTCACGTTGACGGTCCCAGCATGATTGTTGACGGCCCCGGCTCGCGTCGAAATTCGAAGCCGGTGTTGGCGTTGTTTTTGGCGGCCCCGTCGGGCCACATCGAGCCGCCCAAACCCGAGCGCGCTGTATCCCTGACATTGGCCATCGGGGAGGACTCCTCGCCGCTTGGAGTGAGCCCGGCTCGAGAGACGGGCCGGGCCCCACCCTCGGAGGGCTCCCAGTGCCCAGGAGCCGATTCCGAGCGAGTGCGGTGCCCAGATTTCGGAGCGTCGCGGCGGAAACCCAGTTCGGGCCTCTGGAGGCCCTCGCCGCTTCCTCCGACGCCAACGGGCGTTGGCCCGCGACCAAGCACTGCCTGCCCTCGTGCTCCTGCTCCTGCTCCCCCTCCTCCTCCTCCTCCTCCTCCTCCTCCTCCTCCTCCTCCTCCTCCTCCTCCTCCTCCTCCTCCTCCTCCTCCCCGGGGTCTTACGACGTCGTGGCGAAAAGGAGGCGGTGCCTCGGAGAGCTCTGGGGGGGCAGGTTCCCGGCGCGGACTTCGTCAAGGTCTGCGGCTTCGGGATGGTGGGTTTGACCCTGCTCGTGTACGTACAGGGGTCGCTCAGACCGTATCTCGGGGGCGTCGACTGCGACAGGGTCAAGACAGGCATGGACGGCATGAGCGGGAACAAGGGCTGCGTCTGCGTCCGGATGCTGCTTGGTTCGCGGAGGGGGAGGGAGGATGACGAGGAGAGGGAGGAGGACGAGAAGGAGGAGGAGGAGGAGGAGGAGGAGGAGGAGCAGCGGAGCAACAGGAGGAGGAGGAGGAGGAGGAGGAGGAGGAGGAGGAGGAGGAACCGAAGGAGCAGGAGGCTGTGAAAGAAAGAGTGGAGAAGGAAGTACAGGCAGGGGCAATTGAGAAGGGAGGGGGACGAGTACGTGAGGAAGAGAAAGTTGGGACGAGGAAGCCGTGACAAAGGAAGATGCAGCAGGGAGGGAGGCAGGGGGAGCCGCAGGGAGGGGGTGTGGGTGGAAGGAGGGGAGGAGAAGGGGCAGGAGCAACAGGACTGGGGGGGCAATACTTCCGTCGACTAAACTTGTTCGAGTCACCATTCCCTGGATCTTTCGACCACGTCCCGGGGGTCCAGATCTTTACCCCGAGCTGGTTTGTGACGGCCCTGGGGCCCAGAAATGCATACGCAGAAGGCCGGTTCGAACCGGGCCCCAGGGCCCGGAAATGGGTGAATGCATTTCGGCGCGAATGTTTCGAGTCGCCAGATGTCGGCGGCTCACAGAAGCGGGTGAGATGTCTAGTCTCTCATCCAATCTGCACAGTTGAATAACGAACACTGTCATCAGCACATCAAGTACTTGTTTTAAGTCGGCCGTGTCCGTCTACAGGAAGGGAATTCAAATACAGTCAAGAACAATCAGGGGACGACTGTTTGACCATCTCTTACTATTTCTGAACATGTTTTGACTATCTCTCGTTTTCTGAGAGTGTGTGTTTGCCCATTTCCCATTTTCCTTCAAAATCCGCCTGTGAGAGGACATGCCCGACCTACAGGCCTCGGGAAAAAAATAGCGAACACTCATGCCACATTCATCTGTGAACGCCTCCCCCTCCCCCCAATTTTCAAAGTTGGCGGTGGGTCTGATGAGTTGCGCCTCGACCGCAGCCTCCCCCGCGCGTGCCAACTTTGAGTTTGGGGGGCAGGGGAGGACTTCACTAATTGTTTCCCTCTACCGTCGCCCATCTGTGATCAGACGTTGGCCCAGACCTCCAGCGTCGTGACTCCCTGACGGCGTGGGCCCACGGAGTTTTCGGGCCCACCTCCGGGGCCCGTCTTCCGTCGCGGGCAGCTGCTCGATTCACAGCGCCGGGGCCGACATTGGCCTCTGGAGGCCGCGGTCATCGTTCGGAAGTTGGGCGAGGGCTGCTGAAACCGTGGCTGCTAAAACGGCCCTCTACCGTAGTACTCGTTGGAAGCCCTCCCGCCCTCTGAGGAGCCCCTGGGCCCTTCCGAAAGAAGGCCCCCCCCCCCTTCCTTCTGCCTTCTCGGGGGGCGCTCCCCCCGCCCCCGCGCCCTGCCGCGGTCCCCGCGCCGCCGAAGACATTTTTTTGGGGGAGGAGGAGGAGGAGGAGGAGGAGGAGGAGGAGGAGGAGGAGGAGGAGGAGAGGAGGAGGAGGAGGAGGAGGAGGAGGAGGGGGAGGGGGAGGAGGGGGAGGGGGGAGGGGGAGGGGGAGGAGGGAGGAGGAGGAGGAGGAGGAGGGCGGAGGAGGAGGAGGAGGAGGAGGAGGAGGAGGAGGAGAAGGAGGAGGAGGATGAGGAGGAAGGCTCGCTCTCCCTCTGCTTCATCAACGTGCACCTGGCCTCGGGCCAGACGGCCTGCGCCGAGAGGAGCGAGCACCTCTGGCAGATCCTTTCGGACGCCTTCCAGGGCACCTCCATCCGAGGCCCCCCTCGCTCTCCTCGTCTCGCCCCTTCCCTCCTGCCCGTTCTTCCCTCCTCGAAGAAGAAAGACGCTATAAACATAAGCTGTCGGCGCTCCGCGCGGATTTCTTGGATCCGCGTTGGGCCCCCCTGGCGGCGCCTCCGGCGCCGCCCCTGGCGCGCTCCGCGCGCCAGGAGATGGGTCCAGCGCAGATCCAATAAATCCGCGCGGAGCGCCAACAGTTTATGTTTATGCCGTTTTTTCTTCCTCTACCTCCGCCTCACATCCACATGTCCTCGAAGGGGCACTGCCAGCTCTTTCTGGTTGACCCCCTCGTTCTCCTCTTCCCTCCTGCCCTTCTTCCCTCCACCGCCTCACATCCGCATGCCCTCGAAGGGGCACTGCCAGCTCTTCCTGGCCGATGTCGCCGCACGGCCGCTTTGGGAGTCGCCCCCCAATCGCCTCTGCCTGAAGCCTCCGCCCCCCAGTTCTCTTCTCCCCCCCACCTTCCCCACCGACGCCTGAGCCCTGCTTCAAGGTAGGAAAAACCACCCGGACCGGACAATTGGCGTTACCAAGCGGCCTTGCCTTGTTCGATTCCTTCTTTGGGCGCGTTTGCTGAAGGCCTCGCGTGTCGGGGTGGTTGTTGTCGGGGTGGATTTTCTGCCCTCTGCAGCTCCCCACCTGTACATGGTCTCCCTCGCTCCCTCCCCTGCCCTCCAACTCCTCCAACACCGATGCATGAGCCTTGCTTTTCAAGGCCTAAATCAGCGTCGTTTGTTTGGCCCTCGCTGCCCTCCCCGGGCTGGCCCCGCTGGACCGCCAGAGCGCGCCTGCGTCTGCGTCCTCCCCCGTCCCGCCCCCCCGTCCTTTTTATCGAAGACGCCTACGGCGAATCACCGCCGCCCCCTGCCTTTTTGGAAGCGCCTATGTGGCCGAACGTTGAGGCCAGACCTGCCAAGCTATCGGACCACGTGTTCCCCGAATCGGTTTGGAAAGCCTTCGGGGAACACGTGGGCATCTTGAAGGTCATCTTGGCCGTCTTGGAGGCCTCTTGGGCAAGCTTTGGGCGATCTTTGGGGCTTTTTGGGCCGTCTCGGGCCAGCTTCGAGCCAACTTCGGCCATCTTGGTGGGTTCCTGGCACGTCTGAAGCCGTCGGAAGCCGTTTGGGGGGCCTCTATGGGCCGACTTGGGGCCCGCTTGGAATGCTCCAGGGCCGTCTTGGAGGCCATCTTGGGCGTCTGGAGGCCATCTTGGGCGTGTTGGAGGCCTCTTGGGCCCTCTTGGGGCCCTCTAGGGGCCATCTTGGAGGCCACTTGGGCCATCATGGGGCTCTCTTGGGGGCCTCTTGGGCGATCTTGGGGGCTTCTTGGGCCGTCTCGAGCCGTCGGAGAGCCGAAAAGGCGCAAATGCCAGAATCCTTCAAAAACCAAGGAAAAATCAATGATTTTGGCCTCTTCGGACTCTCCTGGAGGACCTCTTGGAGGCCTCTTGGGCCGTCTGGGAGGCCTCTGGGGGGCCTCTTGGGCCGTCTTGGGCCGTCTTGGGCTCTCTTGGGCCGTTTCGGAGGCCGTCTTGGACCATCTCGGGCGGACTTGGAGGCCATCTTGGGCCATCTTCGCGATTTTTTGAGGATGTCCCGAGCGAAACGGCCGTTTTTTGGAGGATTTTTTTCCGGATTGAGGTCCTTTCGGCTTCCTCCCGGGACCCCGGCGGGACGTGCCGGAGCCCATTGGGGGAGTTCTTTTGGAAAAAGAACCAAAACCAAAACCTGAAACATCCAGCACGCCGTGCACCCCTGCAAGCAGGGGGCGGCGGATCCAGCTGCCTACGGCAAGTGCCGCCACCGTGCCTGGGCTGCGGGTCTGAAGCCTACCCGCTGCTCGTGGGGATCTCGTGGGAGGCCTCTCGGAGGCAGTTCTGGAGACTCCTGGGGGCCGCTTTGGGGGGCCGCTTTGGGGGGCCTCTTGGGGGCTTGGGGGCCTTTTGGGGGCCTCTTGGCGTGACCCTCCCCTCGAGGGAAGCCTTCTCGCAAACGTCCGACAAACACATGTCTGCATCGATGTAACGTATCGTAAATCCCCCATGGCAGAACCAGGCCATTTGCGAGCAGTTAGGTTGCGAGTAGTGAAACGCGCTTGTCTAGAAGCGAATCGCGCCAGGCTCACCCCGCGGCGCAAAGCGGGCCAGGGGGGGATCCAAACGGCGCGCCAGGTGGGGCGGGGGTGTCCAGCGCCAGCGCCACGAGAAAGCCGCGCGAGCTTCCGGTCGATGCCAATCAGGGAGGGGGGGATAGGCATATGGGGGATGCATCGGCCCCCAATCGCCCATTGATCGACGAGAGAGGCCCGATGGCCCCAACTTGCCCAGGAAGGTGTGAATTCACAATCGGAGGCCCATCTCCGATCCGTCGATGTATCAACGATTCTGGGTCGATGCATCCCCTTCTTGTGCCAGTCCCCCCTTATCGTAACCACGCACGCCAGGCATACCAAATAAGACATCTGCTTGCAACAACAACAAGAACAGCAGCAACAACAACAGCAATGCTATTAAGACTGTTCGCTCTTATCTGCTCGCGTGCCACTCAACACTTATATCCCGAATTCTCGATACCCGCCCTCTTCGCCTTCGATTGTACCCCCGTGGGGGTATGTCTTTCTCACCTGCAACGTGTCTTCCGTACAGCCCCTGAGGCAGGGGAAGAGAGGACAGATAGAAGGAAGGGACAAGGGCGAGGGAGGAGGATGGAGCACGAGAGAGACTAGTAGGAGGGGAGCTAGGAGCAGAAAACACGTGGCAGAACCAGACGGGCTGCTCGGGCTGGCAGACCCTACCAGGCGGGTCGGGAAGGAGTGCCCAGGCGGCCAGGTCGGGCAGGCGGGTTGCTGAAGCGCGCGTCTCGCATGAATCGCGAGGAAGTCTCGAGCGACAGCTCGATTCTCAAATCAATCGTGAGGAAATCCAAAGCGAGAGCGTGACTCCTGAATGTCGAGGGCGCGGCGCCTGCGTAAATTGCGAGGAAGGCCCACGCGAGAGCAAGATTCCTGAATCAATTGTGAGGAAGTCCCGCGCGAGAGCGCGATTTGAGAATACGTTGTGAGGAAGTATCAGGCGGGAGCCGCGGCTGTTGTAGCTTAAGCGCAGTTTGGGGAGGAAGATGTTCCCCGTTAAAAAACAGAGTGTGAGCCCCAGGGGGGGGGGCATTTCAAGTGAAAAAGCATATGTTACCGGAGGGGGTATCAACATATCTTATTCTTCAGTAGTGAGAGCTCAAAAACAACAACAACAACAACAACAACAGCAGCAACAACAACAACAACAAAAACAATCATTTTAAGACGGCTTGCCCTTATCTGCTCGAGTGTCGAATAACGCGAATTTCCCAAACCCTCGATACCCGCCTTTTTCGTCTTCGATCGAACCCCTTTTGGGGGGTATACCTTTCTTCCCTGCAGGCCGGGCCCCGGCAAGCGGCGGGGCGGCCGCGGACCGTCGGCCTGGCCAGCGGCAGCGCTGATCGGCGGGGCGGCCGCTGGGGACCGACCACGACGAGACGACGTCGACGACGACGGCAACGACGGCGACGGCGACGACGACGAGCGAAAGCGAGAGCGAGAGAGAACGACAGCAAAGCCACGGAGGACACGAAGTAGGCCACGAAGGGCGACAGCGGGGACACGAAGGGAATGCGTATGGGGCCACGAAGAGCGCGAACGAGCGTGGGCCACGAAGGGCAGATAATGCGGGGCCACAGAAGGCAACGATGGGGCCACTGAGGGTAGCACCTGGGCCACGTAGGACAATGAGGGGGCCACAAACGGCGACAGCGGGGCCACGAAGGGCATGCACATGGGGCCACAACGGGCGCGAACGAGCGGGGGCCACGAAGGGCATACGTATGTTGGGCCGCGGAGGGTACGGACGGGGCCACTGAGGGCAGCAACGGGGACACGAAGGGCAGCGAGGGGGCCACGAAGGGCGACAGCGGGGCCACGAAAGGCATGCATATGGGGCCACCACGGGCGCGAACGAGCGGGGGCCACGAAGGGCATAACATGGGGCCACGAAACAAAGCGAGGGGGCCACGAAGGGCTGCGACGGGGCCACGAAGGGCATGCATATGGGGCCACGAAGGGCGCAACGCGGGCCACGAAGGGCTGCAACGGGGCCACGAGGGCAGCGAGGGGGCCACGAAGGGCTGCAACGGGGCCACGAAGGGCAGCGAGGGGCCACGAAGGGCTGCAAACGGGCCACGAACAAGCGAGGGGCCACGAAGGGGCTGCAACGGGGCCACGAAACAAAGCGAGGGGGCCACGAAGGGCTGCAACGGGGCCACGAAACAAAGCGAGGGGGCCACGAAGGGCTGCAACGGGGCCACGGAGGGCAGCGAGATCCCGATTCCTAGGTAATCTGTGAAGGAGTCCAAGGCGTGAGCGCGACTCCTGGGTGCCTGGGTGTCGGGAGCGCGGCGCTGGAGTAAATAGCAAAAAATTCCAACGCAAGGGCGCTGTTCTTCAGTAAATTGCAAGCAAGTCTTCAGCGAGAGCGCGACTCCAGAGCGCAGGAGGAGGGATTCCTGAATAAATCGTAAGGAAGTCCCAAGCGAAAGCGCGATTCTTGAATAAAATGCGAGGAAGTCTCGGGCAGGAGCGGGGGTCCTGGCTAAATTGTGAGGAAGTCTCAGGCGGGAGCCGCTGTTGTTGTAACCCGGGGGCCAGGGGGCCAGTTTGAGCAGGAAAACTTTCTTTGACAAAAAACCAGGTGCGAGCCCCGGGGGGGCACTACAATTAAACAAATCAACGTGCACCGGTGAGGGGGGATCAACAAGAATTATTCTTCAAGAATGAGAGTTCAACGACAACAGCAACAACAACAACGACAACGGCTCCCGCTTGACACTTCTTCACAATGTATTTCAAAATCGCGCTCTCGCGCAGGACTCCCTCACAATGCATAGAAAGGAATCGCGCTTCTGCGTGGGATCCTCGCAATGTATTCAGCGCCCTCCACGCTCAAGAATCGCGCTCTCGGTTTGGCTTTTCTCACGATTTACTTGGGGATCGGGGTCCTGATATGTTTTCGCGATTCATGCAGGAGTCGCGCTTCGGCCGCCTTCCTGCTCGACCTGGCCGCCGGGGCCCGCCTTCCCGACCCGCCCGTTGGGGTCGACGCGTCCGATCAGCCCAGCTGGTTCTGCGACGTGCTTTTATGCTCCTAGCCCCCCTCCTAGTCTCTCTCGGGTTCCATCCTTTTCCTTCCCTCTTGCATCCGTCCTCTCTTGCCCTGTTTCAAGGGCTCCACAAGTCGCACGTGGCATGTAAGGAAAATGCATATACCCCCAAGGGGGTACGATCGAAGATGAAGAGGGTGGATATCGAGGGTTTGGGATACGCGTTTTGAATGGCACAACGAGCACGTAAGAGCGAATAGTCTTATTATTATTGTTGTCGTCGTCATTGTTGTCGTTGTAGTCGTCGTCGTGGTGTCGTCGTCGTCGGTCGTCGTCGTCGCCTTTGTCGTCGCCATCGTCCATTTTCCGTCGTCGTCTTCGTTCACGTCCGGCGTCCGTCGTCGTCGTCGTTGTAGTCGTCATCTCTCGCCGTCGCCGTCGTCGGCATCGTCGTCGGCGTCGTTCTTGTCGTCGGTCGTCGTTCGTCGCCGTTGTCGTCGGCGTCGTCCGTTTTCCGTCGTCGTCGTCGTCGTCATCGTTGATATCCAAAGTCCGACGTCGTCGTCGTCGTACGTCGTCGTCGTCGCCGTCGTCGGTCGTGCGGCGTCGTCGTCGTCCGTCATCCGTCGTCCGTCGTCGGCATCGTCGTCGGCGTCGCCGCCGTTTGTCGTCCGTCGTCCGTCGTCCGTCCGTCGTCGTCGTGGTGGTCGTCGTCGTCGTCGTGGTCGTTGTCGTCGTCTTCCAGCGCCTGGTGCCCGCCGTCGTGGGGCGGGGGCTTGGTGCGGGATCCGAGCCTGCCCCCCTCAGGAATGGGGCGGGGAAAGGGGGAGGGTCAAGCCCCCCCGCCCTTGCTCCAGGGGGGGGGGGGGGGGGCTGGGAGGGCCGGGGGGTCGGGGGGGGGGGGGGGCTTTCGGCGAGGGTCCAGAGATTTCACGCCGGGGGCCGTGGAGATCCCCACCTCCCCCCGAAGGGGAGGAGGGAGGCTGGAAGGGGAAGCGTCCCGAGCCCTCTGCGCCCCAACAGGGGTGGCGGGATTGCAGCAGGAAGCCTCTCTTCGCCGGTCGCCTGCGCCCGCTGTGCGCCCCCCCGTGGATGCGCACACGGAGGAGGAGGAGGAGGAGGAGGAGGGAGGAGGAGGAGGAGGAGGAGGAGGAGGAGGGAGGAGGAGGAGGGAGGAGGAGGGAGGAGGAGGGAGGAGGGAGGAGGGAGGAGGGAGGAGGGAGCCCCCCTCGCCCCCCAGGGAGGGGCAAGCTCCGGGCGCCGAAGATGGGCTTCCTGCGCCAGTCGAGGTACTTCGCCTGCGACCACGGCCTGCTCGTCCTCTTCGGCGACATGAACATCCGCCTGGAGCTGCTGCCCGAGGCCCCCGGGGGGGGCGCCCGCTGCCCGACTCCGCGGCGCGGCGCCGGCCGGGCCAGGCCCTCGGCCCGAGGCTTCGGGGGCGACGACAGGGAAAAATAAAACATACCCCCAAAATGCACCAAAAAAGATCAAACAATAGTCAAAACATGGTCCCCAGACTAAGTGTTGAATCTATGTTTTTTTTTATTCTTATTTTGGGGGTATCTTTTATTTTTCGTCGAAAACCCCCCTGTAGGGGGACACGCCCGACTTAAAGATAGGGGCGAATAGCCCAGGGGAGATCAATACATGGCATTCAGGTGCGCCGATGATCTGTGTCTTCGAAGAGGCTCCCCCGGGCGAATGCGTGTAATGCCCGCCCCTGGGCTATTCGCCCCTATCGTCGCCGACGACGAGCGGCCGGGCACGCCCCTCCCGGCCGAGCTGCGAGGCGTTGCGAGCCCAGGCCCCCCCTCGGAGGCCTCCGGGGCAGGCTGAGGTTGTGCCGCCCCCCGAGAAGCAAGGTCGAGCAGTGTCGAAGACCGATTTCTGACCACATCCACTTCTGGATCCTCGATTCTATGATAGGCCCTCGGGGGTGGAAGTGGGTAGTTTTTCCTTCCCCTGGGGCGGGGAAACTGCCCACCTCCACCTCTGGAAACCGCTTTTCGCAAGGCACCTCGGGAAGTGAGTGTGGTCAGAAATCGGTCTCCTACAGAGGTTTGTGGTTTGTCGTCGTTTTCTTATCCATCGTTTCGCCGATCGGCGCGGGCCCTCGCACCCCCAAGGAGTAGATCTTGGCTGTTTTTGGCGCCTGTTCCGAGCAGGTGGAGTCTCCCCCACAGGACGCATTGCTCCAAACAGTCGCATGAAGCAGAGGTCCCGAGACCCCCCTCTTCCGCCAGTTGTCGAAACGCCGAATAAGAAAACGCTAATTTTTCGGAAGTCAGCGTTGGTTCCCGGCGGCTTTTCAGCCTCTGGACGCTCTCCACCAGCTGCGCCTCGTCGCGTGCGCTGCGGGGGTGCCGGATCGTCCCGAAAACGGCGTCGCCTGAGTTTGTTTCGCCGTCTCAGAGGTCTTGGAGCAAAAGCCCAGCAAAGCAAGCCCTGCCCCGAAAGCTTGCCGTCGTGAGAAAAAAAAACAACGATGGACGGCTTCTGGCCGTTCTCGGCCTCAGGGGGCCCTCGCTGGGCCTCGGGGGGACCGCCAAGGAAACGGCCAGGATGAAAAGTCTGTGCCGCGGAAGGGGTCCAGTCTTTTGGGAGTCGACTCTGTGAACAAGTCACGACGTCGGAAACTCGGGGTGGGAGGGGGCCGCTCCCGGGCTGCGGGGGGACATCGGGAGCGGTTCGGAGTGAACCCAGTGCCAGGGAATCCCCTACACGCACGAAATGGGTACAGAAAGAATGGGTACAATGCCCAACAGCAGTTCCTGCTCATTTTGAACAGGACTCGCTGTCCGCGCCGCCGCGGCCTGTGTCCATTTGAGACAGAAGGCCGCCCGCTCAACAGCGGCCGCTGTTGGTTTGGGACAACATTTGTTGTTGGGCACTGTATCCGAAGGCGAAAACCCACCCCCACCCCCAGCCCTGACGCCCATCCCCGAGCCGGCGATTCAAGGGGCCGGGACTGGGGGTGGGGGGGGGGTTCTCCATTCCTGGACCCCGAAAACCCGCCCCCACCCCCAGTCCTGACTCCTTGAATCGCGGGTTCGGGGATGGAGTCGGGACTCGGGGTGGGGGTGGGTTTTCGCCTTCTCAGTGTACCCATTTCTTCCGTACCCATTTCGGGCGTCCAAGGAAGGGGTTCAGAGGTTCGCGCGTTGGAGAGACCAAGACGTCGAGGATCTGGGTCTTCGGCCCCGGAAAAAAAAAGTGTTGGGGCCGCTCAGTTCCTTTTTTGGTGTCGGAAGCACGTCTCGCCCCCCACAAGACAAGAGGGGCCCACTGATATTCAGGAGAGGAAAAAACACACAGGCACAATTCATCGTCGACTCCCAGGGAAAGACGGTAAAATGTGGGACGTGGAGGGGAAGACGAAAACCTTGAAAGTACGGGAAAACATGGGGAATCTTGGGATTTGTGTTTCTTATTTGTGTGTCCCTGGGTCCCTGTAGAGATGTTCACCCACCCACCCCGAACAGCAGCAAAACCTGCCCCAGCTGCCCAGCGCTCCGACGCCATGCTTTTGTCCACGGCGTCGACCCCACTAGCGGTCTCTGGACCCCTTCAGCAGCAAAACCTGCCCCAGCTGCCCAGCGCTCCGACGCCATGCTTTTGTCCACGGCGTCGACCCCGCCAGCGGTCTCTGGACCCCGAACAGCAGCAAAACCTGCCCCAGCTGCCCAGCGCTCCGACGCCATGCTTTTGTCCACAGTGTCGACCCCACTAGCGGTCTCTGGACCCCTTCCGCAGCAAAACCTGCCCCAGCTGCCCAGCGCTCCGACGCCATGCTTTTGTCCACGGCGTCGACCCCACTGAGTAGCGGTCTCTGGACCCCGAACAGCAGCAAAACCTGCCCCAGCTGCCCAGCGCTCCGACGCCATGCTTTTGTCCACGGCGTCGACCCCACTCAGTAGCGGTCTCTGGACCCCTTCCCGGGGACAGGCCCCGCTTCGACGGCCCCCCGCGGCCCGGCGAGCGCCCTCGGAGGCCGCAGACGGCCAGAAGCTGCCCGCCGTGCGCTCGCCACCGCGAGCGGGGGGCCTCAGTCAACCCGCGTTACCGTCGGGGCGTCGACCTAGGGAACAATAAACAGTGGGCAATTGGTAACTAACTAATCATTTTTCCGGCGGGCTTATTGAAGGACTGGGGTCCCACCTCTAGGGGGCAACCAACTATATTTTCCGCGGCGTCCGCCGCGCAACAACAACGACGACGAGGAGGACGAGGAGGAGGATGAGGTTCTACAGTCGGGGCGTTGACCTAAGGAACCCTAAATAAGGAACGAGGCCCCTTTTTTCCATGAGTTAAACTTCGATTTCCTGTCGAATACATGAGGAAAACCTGAGGCAAGCTGTGAAGCACTTGAGGAACGCGGAGCCCCTCCCCAACCAAAAGGGTTCCTTCTTCAGGGCCCCGACTGTATCAGGAGGGGCAACCTTCCCAAGGGTACCCTTGCATCCCTTGTCCCCTCGGTCCATACTTGGCCGCCTTCGCTGGCCGCGCCCCGCCCGCGGAGCGTCTCGGCATGGCCTCCCAAGGCCCGTGCATCCTTCCTCCGACAAGGACAAGCGCCATAGACACAATCTCTTGGCGCTCCGCGCGGATGTCTTGGATCTGCGCTGGACCCCCCTTCCTGGCTCGCGGAGCGCGCCAGGTGCGGCGCCGGAGGTGCCGCCAGGGGGTCCCAGCGCGGATCCAGGACATCCGCGCGCCGCGCCAAACGTTTAGGTTGACGGCGTCTGTTGTTCTTCCTCTATCGTCGTGCGTCCTGATGATGCGGGCTGGCGGTGCGCAGGGCGCGCGCGCGTCGATCCCGAGGGCCGATGGGCTGGCCTGGCCCGGGCGGGCCCGCGGCGGAGGAGAGCAGCCGCCGCGTCCTTCCTTGCAGGAGCAGAGGCCCCCTGGCGGGCCCGAGGCCTGGCTGGACCGGGACCAGCTCAGCCTGGGCAAGCTGCCCAGCCTCAGGCCGAGGGGCCAAAGTCTGCACGAGCGCGGCGAAGAGGAAGAAACAACGGCACAGACATGAGCCGTTGGCGCTCCGCGCGGATTTCTTGGATGCGCGCTGGGCCCCCCCGGCGGCGCCTCCGCGCCAGGGAGGGGGGCCCAGCGCGGATCCAAGAAATCCGCGCGGAGCGCCAACAGCTTATGTCTGTGCAGTTGTTTTTCTTCTAACGCAGGTCCAGAGTGCCGAGGACATGCCTTGTCCAACCCCGCCGCTTCTCTTCGATTTCGGCCCTCGGAGACCGTGATCGGATCGGGCCCGTGGAGCCTCAAAGATGGGTCGGGATGTCTGGGGTTGGGCGTCGCGTAATGGGGGGGCAATAGATGGGGGGCAGCGAGGGCTGCAGAAAAGGGGCCCTTTAGAGCCCCGAAGGGGGCCTCCAGCGCCAGAAAGGTGCTGCCCGACAGCTTGGGGCTGCTAGACTGAGAGAACCTAGGCCTCCCAGATGGGTTCCGAGCAGATGGGGTCGGAGGATCGCGCCGCATCGCCGATGCATCGGCGATGCGGCTCTATGCGGAGCCCGATTTTCTCCACGCCCACGTCGCCGATGCATCGCCGACGTCGCCAGTGCGGCGCGATCCTTCGACCCCGTCTACTCGGACCCTATCGAGGAGGCCTCTAGGGAGGGGGCTCCCGACACGCCTCGCACACGTCACTTGCCTTACCTGGGCAGCCCGCCTCGCGTCTTCGAGGGATGAAGGCTGCATACCGCGGCCGCCAGTCGCCAGAGGGCCCGCTGCTCCCTGGGGATCCCGCCTGGGGTTCGCGCCTGGGGAGCCGCTAAAGATCTTTGAACTTCTTACAGCTTTTCGCGACAATGCATCTGTAATGCTTCCTGGGGCGCTCCGGCCCCCACCCCGCCTAGTCCCCTCGCGTGGACTCTTGTACGCGGGCTTCGCTTCGCTTCGCCCTTCTCTCGGCGGTCCTAGAACCTCATCCTCCTCCTCGTCCTCCTCGTCGTCGTTGTTGTTGTGCGGCGGGTGCCGCGGAAAATATTGTTCGTTGCCCCCTATAGGTGGGGCCCCAGTCCTTCAATAAGTCCGCCGGAAAAATAAGTAGTTAATTACCCACTATTTGGGGGGGGTCGAAAGACCTTTCAGGGTGACCCAGGATTGCTCCAAGCAGAAGAGTGTTTGAGCAGTTCTTCATTACTCCATGAGGGGCTTCCGCGAGGGAGACATCAGATTCGCGCCGACCTTCAAGTATGTCCCCGGCTCCAGCACCTTCAGCGACAAGCGCTGCCCAGCGTGGACCGACAGGGTCGTCTTCAAGGCCGCCAGCGGGGTGGACGTGGAGCTGCTGGAGTACGACTCGTTCCCGCAGATGATGCACACCAGCGACCACCACGCCATCGCGGCGCAGTTCTTCGTGGCGGGGGCAGGCAGCGTCGAGTCGGGCCTGCCCCCCTCCAGTAGGCATATGCAAAAACAGTCAAAAAAACAGCGCGGTGACGATTTTGCATTTTTACACACACACACATATAGATATATATATATATATATACATATATATGTATCTGTATGTATATATATATATATATATATATATGGCGCCGCCTCGGAGGAGCAAATCGGCCGAATGGAGGAGGAGGAGGAGGAGGAGGAGGAGGAGAAGGAGGGGGGGAGGAGGAGAGGAGGAGGCACACATACACATATATCTATATACATATATATAGATATAGATATACAGATTCCCTTTTCTATATTTGTATAATCCTGGGGGGTGGGAACCCTCCCCCCCCGAAATAGGATCCTCCCCAACCGGGACTTCCGGAAACGGGACCCCTCACGAGGATCGCAGCCTCCGAGCGCGAAAATTAGCGCTCTCCTTCCAAAGAGGAAGGTGAGAGGACACGCGAGGCTCCTTGGACCTCCCGAGAGGCTTTCTCGAGGCTTCTACGAAGGCCCAAGAGGGTCCCAAGAGCCTTCCAGAGTCCTCCGAAGAAGCCCCCGAGAGATGAACATCAGTGATTTCCTATGGTTTTTCTAAGATTGTTGCTTCTTTGCATGTTCACTGTTCCGACGTGCCAAGACGGCCGAAGACGCCCACAAGACCGATGCCAGACGGCTCAAGAGGCCTCCAAGCGAGTCCGAAACCGGCCCAAGACAGCCCCGACACGGCCCAAGGGGTGCCCAAGACGGCCCCAGAGAGCCCCAAGACGGCTTTCAGAAACGGCACCCCTCACGAGGATCGCAGCCTTCCAGCGCGAAACTGAGCGATCTTCGTCCGAAGAGGCACCTACGAGGGTACGCGAGGGTCCTCGGGTTGCCTTAAAAGCTTCTTAAAGGTTCCCCCGACAGCTTGAGAAGGCCCCACGAACCTCGCAGAGTTCTCTGAAGAAGGCCCCAAGAGATCAAAATCATTAATTTCCTATGGCTTTCCTAAGATTTTGGCTTCGTTGCATGTTCACTGTTCCGACGTGCCAAGACGGCCGAAGACGCCCACAAGACCAATCCCAGAGGGCCCAAGCAGCCTCCAAGCGAGTCCACAGCCGGCCCCAGAGAGCCCCAAGACAAGCTTCAGAGAGAGCTTAAAAGGGAAAAAACATACAATTGCAACGCGCTCGGCTCCCACACGGCCACGCGAGGCCCCAAGCCCCTTCCAGGAGGCCACAAGAAGGGCCACAAGGCGCGCAAAAGGCTTATGATTTCAAGGACTCTGCACCCAGACGCCCACACGAAGCTCCAAGACTCCTCAACGGCTCCCCAGACGTGCCACGAGGCGCCCAAGAGCCGCCAAGAAGCATTCACGAAGTTCCCCCACGACGCCCCACAAGGCCTCTAAGAACCTCCACGAGTTCTCCGAAGAAGGCCTTTATAATCCTGGGGGGTGGGACCCCCCCCCCCCCGAAATAGGATCCTCCCCAACCGGGACTTCCGGAAACGGGACCCCTCACGAGGATCGCAGCCTCCGAGCGCGAAAATTAGCGCTCTCCGTCCAAAGAGGAAGGTGAGAACGAAGCCCATACATAACGTTCGTAGAGCCTGCCTGTCCCAAAGTCGCGTCAGCACGCCTCCCCGCGCCCCCCCTGCCTCATATTTTGCAGTATAAAGCTGCATTCTGGTCAGAATCCTGGGTTCGCACCCTTTTTTTTAGAAATTTGGTTGCGAACCCGGGATTCGATAAGTTTCCCTCTGAAGTCCTTTTCTTGCATTCCATTTGCCCCTTTCGTTGCTTCGAACACCAAATTCTCCCACTCCCCCTCCGCAACCTCTGCACATTCGCAATGCGAGCCCGCGAGGACCCCTCGAAGGGACCGCAGGATACCGCGAGAAGCCAGCCGATCCAAAGCTTCAAGGAACAAAATGCATGGCGCGAAGCGCCTATGCAGCCTTGTATGTATGTATGTATGTATGTATGTATGTATGTATGTATGTATGTATGTATGTATGTATGTATGTATGTATGTATGTATGTATGTATGTATGTATGTATGTATGTATGTATGTATGTATGTATGTATGTATGTATGTATGTATGTATGTATGTATGTATGTATGTATGTATGTATGTATGTATGTATGTATGTATGTATGTATGTATGTATGTATGTATGTATGTATGTATGTGTTGACCATGTGTTCCTCCCGAAATCCGCCTGTGGGAGGACGTGCCCGACCGAAAGGCAGCGCCGGAGCGCCGCCCGCGGCGCCGGCGCCCCCCGCGGCCGCGCCGCAGCGCCTCTCCCTCTGGCTCGCGGAGGGCGAGGCGGCCTCGCTCGGCGAGGCGGTGCGGGCCCTGGACGCCGAGCCTCGGCCTGCCACGCCGCCGCGGGAGGCTCCGCCCGAGGAGGAGGAGGAGGAGGAGGAGGAGGAGGAGGAGGAGGAGGAGGAGGAGGAGGAGGGAGGAGGAGGAGGGAGGAGGAGGAGGAGGAGGAGGAGGAGGAGGAGGAGGACCACCTGCGAGACCAAAAGAGGTCGCACGACCGCTGGCAGGGCTCGTTTCGCGTCTCCTCCGCTTCGATTCGGTTCGACCTCGATGGATTCCGATTCCGGTTCGGTCTTTTTTTTCGGATTTCGCCTTGGGCTCCGATCTCTTACTGGACGCGTAGAGTCGACTTTTCCCGGCTCGGCCGCCGAGTTCCGCCGATCCGACTTCTTTCGGTCGCCGATCCGACTTATCGATTCGATTATGGGCTCCCCTGGCTTGTCGTCGGTTTCCTATCCATTGTTTTGCCGATCGGCGCGAGCTCTCGCGCCCCCCCTCCCCTCCCCCCCCAATGGAGTAGATCTCTGATGTTTTTGGCTCCTGTTTCGAGCAGGCGGAGTCTCCCCCACAGGACGCACCGCTGCAAAACGGTCGCACCGAGCCGAGGTCCAGAGCTAAGACCCCCCTCCCCTCGCCCCCTCTCCGCCGAGTGCCGAGGCGCCGAGCAAGAAAACGCCCACCTGCTGGACCGCTGGACCATCGGCGATGCGGCACGATCGTCCGACCCAGCGCTGACCTCCGAGGTTCCAGACTTGGTCGACGGGCGGCCCCGGGACCCATCGACCCCCCTCCCTCTCGGGACCGGACCGTCGTCCCAGCTCCTTTCGTCAGGAGGCGACAGACACAATGAATCGTCGACTCCCCAGAGAGTATCGGAAAATATAGGGCAGAGGGGGGGGAAGACAGAAAAAACTTAGAAAATATGGAGAAAAATATAGGGAATCCTTTTATCTGTGTGTATTTGTTTGTGTGTCCCAGGGCCCCTTCCTTTCTGCCTGTCCCAGGGTCCAGACGCGGATCCTGGAGGCCGAAAAGACGGCTGCGAGGCGTGTGCCTCCCCTCCGGGCAAAAGTGCGACCCCCGGGGGACCTCTCCTGGGGTGCGCTTCGGCCAGGATTTTCCGAGGGGGGTGCAGTCGGCGTAACCCCAACATACTTATACTGTATGTGCGTCGCCCCCCCAGGGGCGACGCGCGTACCGAGAAATCTTATAGTATGTGCGTCTTGGCGGGCGCTTTCTGGCCACACCGCTCGGGAAACGATATACTACAAGATGAGTATACTATATGTTGAGGTCGGACGCGGGCCTCCAAGGATAACATATAGTACTAGTATGTCTTTGTGCGTCCCATGCAGCCGTGGCGACGAGAAGCCCTTCGGAGTCCCACACAAACTGGGCCGCCTCCCGAGGCGCGAAGACGTTCGCGGTCCGCGCGCCGCGGCCTGGGCGGCGGAGTTGCCCCTCTCAAGACGGCTCGAGACGGCAGCGCGAGGGCATGAAGGCAGCCTTGAGTCGGGCATGTCCCTCTGCAGGGGGAATATTCAAGAATAGTAGAGCATGATCGGGTGACGATGTTTCGTGCTCTTTGGACTATTGTGGAGTGTTTGTTGACTACGTCTTGCTTGCCTTCCAGAATCCGCCTGTAGAGTCGGGGCCCTGAAGAAGGAACCCTTTTCGTTGGGGAGGGGCTCCGCGTTCCTTACGTGTTTCACAGCTTGCCTCAGGTTTTCCGATGCTCTCGATCGGAAGTCGAAGTTTAACTCATGGAAAAAAAGGGGCCTCGTTCCTTATTCTGGGTTCCTTAGGTCAAGGGCCCGACTGTAGGAGGACATGCCCGACCGGAAGGCAGCCGCAGGGCGCGAGGGCGCGAAGCTGGGCGGCCCGGAGGAGGGGGCTTCCAGCCGCAGGCGCAGCGGCAGTCCCCCGCGGCCGGCCTGCCCGGGTGTGCCGAGGCAGGCGGGCAGCAGCTGGGGGGAGCTGTGGCCCTCCTCGTCCTCCTCGTCCTCCTCCTCCTCCTTCTCCTCCTCCTCCTCCTCCTCCTCCTCCTCCTCCTCCTCCTCCTCCTCCTCCTCCTCCTCCTCCTCCTCCTCCTCCTCCTCCTCCTCCCCTGGCGGGACCCCTCGGCTCCCGTCCCCTCCCACTCCGGGAAGGGGACAGTACAGTGGAACCCCTTGGTCTTCGACCCCGCGCCCACCCCCCATCCCCCCAATCTCAAAGTTGGCCTCGGCCTCCCGGAGGCCCTGGGGACGCCACTTTTTTGTCTTCCCACGCCTGTGCTGCCGAATGCCTGGGGCCAACCTTGAAATTTGGGGGGGGGCGCGGTGTCAATGGTTCCACCTTCCGTCCATCCACGGTCCCGCTCCTGCCCTTCCGAGCAGCAGTCCACGCAAGACGATCGCACGCAAGCGCCCGGGCGCCAGGGGCACGGGCCCAGGATTTTCCCCCCGAGCTCTCAACGGGCACGGCCTGCGGGCCGATCGGGCGCAGCGTGGCGTAGTTCGCCCCCGAGGCCGTGGCCACGGCGGGCCCTCCCGGCGGAGGGTGCCGGGCCCTCGTCGTGCCGGCGCGGCGGCGGCCCCGCCTCGGGCCCTCGAGACTGAAGGCCGCCGGTGGCCCAGAGACGGCCCAGGCGGAGCGGCCTGGCGATCGACGCGCTGCGGATCATGCGAGGCTGAATTCACCGAGCGCGTTCCACTGCTCGCACGGTGCCTACTCGCAGGCGCCCGACAAGTGGTTGTATATTGCCCCGACGTGATGTGTCGTGAATACCCCGCGGCGGATCCAGGCCGTTTGCCAGCACTTACTTTGCGAGCAGTGGAGCGCGCTTGTCTATGAAGGATCCATGCGGTGTCACAAGCCAATGCCGAAGTCGTCACGACTCCGAGGCTACCGTAGTTGCCTCGACGCGCGCCGCTATGCTTGGGTCGGTCCGCGGCCCCCCCGAGGTCCCGACCGCTTCCCAGGGGATGTTTTTGTCCGTTCCAGATCCGTTTTTGATGGCCCTG